AGTGTTTATCACCGGGGAGTTCATGCTGTGACGGTGTGAATCAGTCAACTGGGAGGTATGTAACACAAAATAAGCATCTCCCTCACTGCTGGGTGTGTGGTGGGAGGGAGGAAGCAAGACCGGGAGGACGCACCGGCGGTAGCGTCTCCTCCTGTCCTTTGTCAACCTTGTGAGTGGCTGGAGCACGGAGGTGTTGATACCAGGCTGCTCTCTGTCTATTCTTGATAGAATCGTTCATTGCACCATCTATAGTTTCACCCCTAACGAACAGACGACTGATGGTGTCGCACTCTCCTACCGCTTCCTTGCTATTTTGCGCGCAGTACTCCTCGCGTCTTTAGCCCCGGCGCCTTCCTGGTTACCATGATAACCTACATCCATCTGACAAGATGAACGTTCTGACTAAGGTATGATGGGAGGCCTTGTTCCCATCAGGCACCTGGTTTGCTCAGCAGCAGCAGCTTATGTTCTACCGCAATATGATGCTATGAAATTTCCGGGTCCAGCACAAGCACCCGCCGCAGCAATGAGTAACCTTTCCTCCTAAAACGCCTTCATTTTCCACTGCATTTCTGTCATTTGACGTATGACACAAGCGATAGTTTCCACAATTTGGTTTCATCCATTTAACCGTGCTTTCAGAAACGCCACATTTAACGAACAGGCATTTAAAAGCCACCATCACCATTAAAGAACCACCCAGGCAGGAAGAGCCTACTGTCGAGTAAGCAACTCTACGAATCCCTTCTCATTAATTAAACTTATGGCGTCTATACTACTACAGCCACTTAAAAGGCTGTAGACTTATTCAGAAATTGAATTATTACACTACAAAATAGCAAGGTGTTTTCTGAACCCATAAATGCTAATTAGAAGTAGCATAGAAGTACCTTCTTCAACGATGAGTAATTAGGTCCATATAGCCAAAAAACAAAAACAAAAAGCAAACCTCAAACTACAGTATAACCCTGAGTGCAACACAAAAGAAACATAAGAACGTGGAAATGACATTAATATGAAGGTAGCTATAGCTAAACGTTAGCTAATTTAAATTAAACTTGGTATAAGATGCCAAATAGTTAGCCTAAGGATGTCTTTAAGACATTGTTTTAAACTAGGTTTTATTTGTTGAAACAAAAACTACAAGATAATAAAAAGGTCCTAGACATGTTGGTAAATGGTAAACAGTAATGTAAATATTGTTAAAATGTATTCTAGAATAAGCAAAGTTTTAGCTTAAAAACGGACTATTACCTCATCTGCACAGCATGTATTCAGTGTTGTTCAGTTGTACAGATAAAGCTGCAACTTATAACTATGTACAGTATGTTGTATAAAATGTTTAATATTTAACTTGCTCCATTCAATACAGTATGTAGAATGAAAATTAATTTGTATTTAAGGAAACTTAAAAGTTCAAACTAAAAATGACTCAGTATCTCTGCAGACCCTGGTATTGGTTGTAAACCCCCTTTTAAAGACTTCTAGTGGTCATTAAAGTGAGATTTGAATCCATGGTCTCTCACGGGTCCAAGCAGGTGAGGAGAGCACGGGCAGACAAACACCTAGTGGTTTTGCTGAGACGCCCTGTTTTTATTGTCCCTCATTTGTGAACAGGGACAGAGGGCCTCATCTGTGTGTATTTGTTTCTAAGAAGGCTAATGAATTGATAATGTGCAATTTAAGTCTTTTACTGCTGCATCATGGCTATCAGGTGGCACTGAACGCTGCTGTCAACACAAGCTGTCTCTGCTCTGCTGCTCTCATCTGTCACTAAAACCAGCCTTTGACTCCAGCCCCTTTACCCTTCCTGTACGACAGAAAGGCTTTTAAAATGACTCTCATTCAGATTGTTGTCACTGAAGTTCACAAACATTGGTTGTTTACCCTGGATCTCAGGAGACGCTCTAACAACAGCCCTTACAGCGGTTGTGAACCAATCAAGGGCCTTGTTAACACAGGTTAATTAACAGAAAAGCAAAGGCCGTTGATAGAAAATGGATGCAGCTGAATGTTGTTTTTTTTTTTTTAAGGCAAGACCTTGCAGTTGGACAACAATTAGACATGCAGGTTTGGAACCAATTCTGCTTCATTATTCTATGGAATGATGAGGTTTTATCCTTCCGACAGGTTTTAGGACATTTTTTCTTTTTGGTGCTGTACTTCTGCTGGAGCCTAAATTTGCTGAAGGGAACTCCAGAGGGATTAATAAAGTGCTATCTATCTGTCTGTCTGTCTGTCTATAGGAACATTTATTGAATAAAGCCCACCGGGGGCATATCCTTTGACTTTACTCCCCAGGTGATAAAACTGATGTCCACTTGAACCTGGCTCATTTATGACAGTCTTTGAAAATTATCTTTTAGATTGTTCTTGCCCACCTGCTGTGTTCTAAAGTGATGCCAGAGTGTAGACTGTGCTTTTTGTGTGATTGTGTGATTTAAAAAAAAAAAAAAAAAGTTTTAAAAACACTTGGACATTTCATAGTTGTTGTGGTTTTACACATGACTCAGTTCATTTCCTGTATACAGTCTATGCTCTTCTGTTGATTACTCTGCGTGCCCTGGATTGGTCCACTACTGCCATTACACCTGTTGTTAGAGACGATGACGATGGAGTCTCCAGCTCAAACAACCAATGTTTGTAGTATCCAATGACAACAAGTAAAACTGTCAGTTTGTCCCAGAACTTATTGACCTTCCCTTGTACTTCCTATTGACATAAAACCTCAGTCTCATTGTCAGGAAAAGTGTACTTGTTCCCAAACTATTACATCTGAAATCATTCACCACTTTAGTTATTTTTGTCTTACTTGAGCTGCTGCCTGCAGCTCTGAGACCTTCATTAACACATTTGTATTCTGACAGGATGATGCGTCTAGCGTGCTGCACGGTGCTGCTCTTTGTCCTGAGACTGCTGGTGGGCTTGCCTTGGTACCAGGTTCTTCCAGCCATCAGCATATTCTACCTTGGAAGCGGGGGATGGAAGTCCATCGAGGTTTTTGCCAAAACCATTGGCAGGGACTTACAGTAAGCATGTTTAAGATTGTACCCTAACTGTTTAAGGTTGTGCCTTTGCTGCTGCAACTCTGAATGTTATGACCATGAAGTTTTGCTGGTCATTTGAATCATACAAAGGGCTAATTCAACACAAGCTATACATTTGGCTAATTGTTTGCTAATCATGGATTGTATTATTTTTCGTCAAATCTTTGCTTATTCTGAACAAATATTTGAGAATCAAAATAAATCAATTCAGCTATGCATTTTACTTATGTAGAATTCCAGAAGATGTTAGCATGCTAACCTCATTCTGGGCCTCTTACAGTGGCACATAGCAGTCATCTCTGTGCCTACATTCAACTATATGGGTAGAATTTAATAAAAAATATTTTCATATTTGTTTATTAGGTGGAAAACATGCCTGTTGCCATTTATGCTGGATTTCTAAAAAAAACCTGCAGCCAATGAACCTGTGTGTCTGGTCGAACAGATCCTGATTTTGCAGTTACTGGAACTGTTGCTAAACCAGCAGCCTTTTCCTGTTGTTCTTGTTTTCAAACATGAACTAAAATAGTTTGTGTTGTGCTGTGGGAGGCCAGATTTACAGTGTTAGGAAGAAATGCACACCTGAACACCTAAACTTTACAGACGCTGATAGCTCTGTTGGCTCTTTGTTCATGGACTTGTATTGTCTGAAGCCTCTGTGAGGTTAAATATTGACCTTACCTGTCTATGTTGTACCATGCTTGTTCCCTCACTGACTCACAAATTCCTACATGTCAATGTGGCGTAACAAAGCCCAGGTGCTTGTTCAAGGGTTGAAGGGATGTAGTCGCTGGCTAATGGTTTTCTGTACACCATAGCAAGTCACACTGAAAGAATCTCCTGCACAGCTGTGAAGGCCAGCCACAGTAGTGGCTTAGTGGTTAAGGAAGCGGACTTGGGTCCTGGTTCGGGTCCACCAGCTGCCAGGTTATCACTGAGGTGCTCTGATCATGGCACCCTGGCACCGTCCCCACACACTGCTCCCCCTAAAAGCTGCCCACTGTTCACTTTGGTGATGAGTTAAAAACAGAAGTCACATTTGGTTGTGTGCAGTGGTGTGCTGTGTCACAATGACAAATAATTAATTTTCACTTTCATTATGACAAAGTTTTCTTTAATTTGAGTCATTTATGGGAACTACAAAAATAGTTCTTAAAAATCTAGTCAGTGTCATTTGTTACACCAAATGTTCTCCTTTCGTTTAATATTTGACTCCATGTAATGCCCAATGAAGGTTCTACTCTCTATACAGTATAGAGTCTGTGGTTCCTGAGCACTTAAGCATCTTTGCAGTGGCTCCCTACGAGATCATATTTGAAATTTGTGAATAGACTAAGTCAGTGGTTCTCAATTATTTTCTGCCATAACCCCCATTGGGGACAGAAATGTTTTCACACGGCCCCCATTACTATTACACTATTACAGGTGATTGGCATGATAATACTGAAGAGTGTGTTGTAGGAATCAGTCATTGCCTGTATATTACTATTACACTATTACAGGTGATTGAGTGAGGTTGGCATGATAATACTGAAGAGTTTGTTGTAGGAATCAGTCATTGCCTGTAAAAAAAATATGCATTTTGTTTGTTTCTGTTTGATGGTAAAAATGGCACTTTCAGTGTTTAGTATTGCAGAGCCTTAGATAGGAGATTAGCGTCAGAGACAGACAGGAGTGTAATATAGATTCAAAGTTGTTTCTTCTTCCTGTCAGTGCTGCAGTGGTGTTGTTGCGGGTGAAGTTGAACGTCAAACGTCACCTCAAAGAGAAAAACACCATCCCCAAGATCTTTGCCGAAACAGTGCAACGACACGGGGACAAGACTGCGCTCATCTTCGAGGGGACGGGAGAAAGGTGGACCTTCAGACAATTGGACGAGTATTCTAACAGAGTGGCAAACCTGCTGCTGGACCGGGGCTTTAAGGTACAAATTGCCCAAGAAATCATTCAAAGTAATTATAAATAGTACCTTGTAGCGAGAAAGATTTCATGACCACAAACAAATGTATTTGACTGTTTTCTTTGTCGAATAATGTCTTTAATGCCAGTTTGTTTTTGGTTGTTGTTGTTTATGTCCTCAGGATGGGGACGTTGTCGCCCTCTTCATGGAGAACAGATCCCAGTACGTGGGGCTGTGGCTGGGCATGGCCAAGATCGGAGTGGAGGCAGCGCTCATCAACTTCAACCTGAGACTGGAGGCTTTGGTCCACTGTGTCACCATCTCCAACGCCAAGGCTGTGGTGTTTGGCTCTGAGCTGTGTGAAGGTGAGTGGAAAGTTCAAGAACACAAGAATATCAGCAGGGATATCAGCAGAATGTAGAGCTACGTTTTTTTGGCTACGTCGGTCACGTGCAAAGTCATAATAATACTACGATGAGACTTTATTTGTGTCATAATTGTCTGCTGATGTTGAGTTGGCTAACATTTAGTAATTCCTTAGGTAATATTAAACTTAAAAAAATGAGCTTTTTTTATTTTATTAAATTTTTTAAATAATTGGCTTATTCACTTAGTTATCGGAACAGTCTGTAGGTTACATTTAGCTCTGATCTTTTCGTTTAAGTTTTTGTCAACTTGCAAATACTTTTAGCTCCCACATGCCTAGTAAAATGCCTTTTCCATTTCTTTATTATTTGTACTATTAATGTGCTATGCCTTTAGGACACATTTCATATATATATTTGGTTCTATATATAGAGAATCTGGGCCAACTTGATCATTTAAGGTTGGTCAAATTGTGGCCGAAGAACTGAAGAATCCTCTTTGGTGAGGGGTGTACCATCTTCTAGACACCAAGTTAGTCCAGTGGCCTCCATGACCCAGAGAATCTAGACAGTTGTCTTTTTACTCTCTTAAAGCTGATTTTCATTTTGTTATTTTTATTTACCTTATAACTAGTTCACTCACACATTTCCTGAATGTTTTGAATTTGTGAACCTTTACTTATCCCATGTCCAATTTCACCATCATATAGCACACTTTTAGCTGTAAAGAAATTAGGTCATATGTGATAGATGGCTATGGTGTGTCTAGTTTATTCATGTTTTATATATATATTTATATATATATATATTTTGGTAAGTATTGTTTGCTATACATAACATTTCTCTGGTCTTACAGTGTATTTGAAATATTTGCTTTGTTTAGCTAGTTTTGGTCAGTTTGATATATCAAAAGTCCACTTCATTGATTTCTAGACAAAAAATATCAACATTGTATTTATGTTTCTTTAAAACTTTTAGCTAACCAAAATACTACTTGCAGTTTTAGCAGTTTAGCTAAGTATTAAGCAAAATTAGCTACGTTTGGCTATATTTGAGCAAATTTTGCTTTATTTCTTAGTTTGTTCTTTAGTCCTTTAGTAGAACTATCCCTTGAACTCACAGGGCAGTTATGATATTCTCCGGTGTTGTCGTGTTTCTCTGCGCTGAGAGCTGAATGGTGCAGGGCGATGGGAGTAGAGCTCATAAAAGATAGATGGCTTTTCAGGGAGGTGGTCCTCTTAGCTGTTGGTTGAGCTTAAAATGGAAAGTGGAGAAAAATCTCCCATCAGCCACCTGTGCTGTTCAAGGTCTAAACCAACTGGTAGATAAATGATAAGCTGGAAAAGATAAGTTGTTTATAAACTGGCACTATTTTATTAATGCAATGATTGACTTCCCAGTACAGAGAGGACACTGATCTCAGAGCAGTTCATCATCTTACCTGATGGTACTGCAATTAATGCAATGCAATTCTGTGCAAATCCTTTGAAAGTCACATATCGATAACTTATCTGGTCCACGTGGACTATGCAATAACTGATGGCTGATGCGATAACGAATCGTTGTTGTTGGTTGATACTGATAAATTGACCCATCAGTAGCTCCTCCTAGTGGATGATAAAGTTAATTTAAATGATAATTCCATAGTTTGTATTCAAGAAAAAAAATCCCTGTTCCCATAACCTTTTGTTTACATTGAGCTGAGGCTAAGAATTGCTGAGACTTAGGCCGGACAAAATCGGTGCTAAAAACGAATGCATTTACTTTTGGCTGCATTGTGTAATGCAGCTCTGCATTACTGTAATTCCTGAACATCCTGCAGTGAAGGTTTTGTACCGATACATGTTCTGTTACAGAGCTGAACTTATCATGACCTTTAGCTCAGATTCAAACGGTCCAATCTTCATAGTTTCCTCCCAGAATCTGCTAAATCTCTGCATCCTGGCTGGAGCACCACCCAGGTAAAACAATATGGGTTAAAGATGCAGCGTATGCGGAGCATTTCCCCACTAATAGCAGGATGATGATGGTGCAGTCGAAGTATTCTCCAGTGCTGACCCAGCACTATGGAGTAACGATTGATGGTCTGAACAGTCTCTGGACTAGATCCTGATCCTTTTATGTGTGGTGTACACAGTACATTTAAGTAATTGAACACTATGCCACCTGGCTACAAAACTGAAAGCTGAAACAGAACAGTGGCCTCAGTGATGAGTTGGCAGCAAAGGTTTTAAATTTAAACATAATTTCCACCCATGTTCTCCTCCTGTAACAACGCTTTAAAGTTTGGCAACAATTAGTTTTTACTCGCCAAATTCACTCATTTGTCTTTGTCTTTGGCTGCTGTAGCTGTTTCCGAGGTCCACAGTTCAATGGGGAAGGCGGTACAGATGTTCTGCTCCGGAGACTGGGATCCTAAACATGTCCCTCAAGGGACAGAGAGCCTGGAGCCCCTGCTGTCGGACGCCTCAGCCCATCCCCCTGCTGCTCGCCCCAAACGCTGCTTCACAGGTGAGAAACTCATAAAAACCAGAACCTGACCAACATGATGTAAAATTTCAGACCATTCCACGCCTTGATATTATATTCTAAGTAAAAAGTTCTCTGTTCTTTGTCCTAAAAAGCTACACAGAGATTTTTGTTGTTGTCAACAACCGTTGACCACAATATTCCTCTTTGTTGTTGTACCCTCTACTGTCTACTGTAAAATATGTGGACTCTGCCTGATTGCATAATATTAATAATCTATGTTTTCTCAGATATATTTTTGCTATTCTTAAACTACCCTCTGACTTGTATTTAGCTTTTTTTCTATACTGTATATTTTGCTAACTTGGAGCTATTTTCTGGGCTAATTTAAAAAAGGAAATTGGGATTATATATATATATATATATATACATGTATGTATATATGTGCAGTATGTATGTTTGTATATGGGTGACTTATTATCTCTTCCTATAAATTTGAACTACGCGTGTTCTCTGTTGCAGATCGCCTCTTCTACATCTACACATCAGGAACCACAGGGATGCCTAAAGCCGCTATCGTTGTGCACAGCAGGTAAGAAGGAGCCATGCAGCTAGAGAACAAACAGAGAGATACTAAACACAGCTGCCTCTGTGTGTCCATACAGTGTTTCTCTCTCTGTGTCTCTTTTTTTTTTAAACAACACTTGATTTTAAATATGTCTCTGCTTTCTCTGTCTTACTTTACTCTGGTTTTAAGGTACTACCGTATGGCAGCTTTGGTGTACTATGGTTTCAGGATGACGTCAGATGACGTGCTGTACGACTGCCTTCCACTCTATCACTCCGCAGGTAAAGATGTACACTGTTGAAAACTGTAAATCAGTTTATGAGTTACTGTAGCATCTGTAGAACTAACTCACAATTAGCCAAACGTTTACCTCTTCACAAGTCTAATATTTGTAAAATAATTCTATTCTACTTTGTATTATTAATACTGTATAAACTGTATGAAATGGCTCATTATTTCTCCTTCATTAGGATAGTCTTAATTCTAATAGTATAATTTTTCAGTCCATTGAAGCAAAATGTGTTTTGTGAGCTCCGTCAAAGCCAATGAAGTTGACTTGACTAGTTAGATTTTTTTTTTCACTTATATTTTGATGTTTTGTACAGAAATTGATTTTGAAAGGGCTTAGAACTTTTTTTTTTATACCTGTTTGAGTTCTAGATAAAAGATTTACATATATTTTTATACAAAGTCTTAGACATCTCTGTTTTCCACAGGGAACATTGTGGGAGTGGGTCAGTGTATAATACACGGCATGACTGTGGTCATCAGAAAGAAGTTCTCTGCCTCACGTTTCTGGGATGACTGTGTCAAATACAACTGTACTGTGAGTACACTCTAATTGTCACTTTCATGTTGTTCATTTGATTCAGAGTCTCGTGGTTTAATTGGTGTGTTTGTGGGTGTTTCCTTCAGATTGTGCAATACATTGGTGAGATCTGTCGCTACCTACTGAACCAGCCAGTTAAGGACACAGAACGGCAACATAAGGTGCGCATGGCTCTGGGCAACGGCCTCAGGCAGTCCATATGGGAGGAGTTCATGAATCGCTACAACATCCCACAGATTGCTGAATTCTATGGAGCCACTGAGTGTAACTGCAGTCTGGGCAACTTTGATAACAAGGTGAGAACATGACTAATCTGAGAAATTTATGAGTCTGTAGGTCAGAACCATTCAGTGACTCCCCCCCCTTCCCCCCAGCCACAGTTGTCCTGTGTCCCAGGTTTAGAATTCAGTATGAAGTCCAGGTTGCTGCTCCTCTAGGACTCTTTCACATTAGCACCAGAAGTGAAAGAGGCCAACCAGCTAACTAACAAGTGAAATACAGATAAGGCATTTCCTTAAACAAAGGAAATACCTAACTACAAGCCACACCCACCCACCCATCACCCTTTTATGATAGCAGCACTGAAGGGCCTGCAGTATTGTGTGGAGTTCTGTCTAGTTTAACAATGGGCTTCCTGATCTGTTGTCAGAAGTTTTAAATAATGATGCATAACAACATAATGAATGAATTCTCAGTAAACTGACTTTTATTTTTTGCCCTTTAGGTCGGAGCATGTGGTTTCAACAGTCGGATTTTACCCTTCATCTACCCCATCAGGTTGGTGAGGGTTGATGAGGAGACCATGGAACTCATCAGAGGACCTGATGGGGTCTGCATACCATGCAAACCTGGTACGTTAAATACATAAACTGAACATTATTTTAATGCCATCACATGTCCACGAATGGAAAACGTGCAAACTCATTTGATTGGTCAGGACTGACTCAGGCGCTGTCAGAACACCGTGGTGACACTGTTTCTCTCTTCATGTACAGGTGAGCCCGGTCAGCTGGTGGGCCGGATCATTCAGAACGACCCCCTCAGGAGGTTTGATGGCTACGTGAACCAATCAGCAACCAGCAAGAAGGTTGCCCACAGTGTCTTCAAGAAGGGAGACAGTGCCTATCTGTCTGGTTAGGGGCTTAGAACTACTCACACACACACACACACACAGACACACACAGACACAGAGAGACCAGTGACTCCCTGGTGTCTCTGCTCCTGATGCCCTTGGACCTCCCCTCTCTCCAGGTGATGTGTTGATCATGGATGAGTATGGACACATGTACTTCAAGGACCGGACCGGAGACACTTTCCGCTGGAAAGGAGAGAACGTCTCCACGACGGAGGTGGAGGGCACACTGAGCAGACTGCTGGACATGAAGGACGTGGTTGTGTACGGAGTGGAAGTCCCAGGTAATGTCTTCCAAGAAACTGACCCGGGCCTTAAGAATTGAATTTGGAATATGCAATTTTAAAATTATACTTATGTCTTATTTACCTCTAACTGTTAATATGTTAAACAACAAACAATACTACAATATACTAATACTACTAATATAATAACAATATTTGTGTCTGTAGAAGTTCTTCCCACGTTCTGTTTGAACACCTGAATGTCCCATAGGTCATGTAGTGTGCTGATGTCTTGGTTAAATAGTGTCCAAACCAACCTTATTTGGTGCATACTGCCACCTACTGTACTACAGTGTGTAGTCATGGTATGACCACTGACATTTTGAGATAACACAGTCTACTCCGTATGCCTTGATGCACAATTCGTTTTTTATTTAAACCAATGCAAATTACCACGCGTATACAACAATGATTCATGATGAAAATCCTTAAAAAAAAAAAACTGGAAAATCCCCTGCAGATCACACAACTGCCTCAAGTGTTAGTTGTTTTTAAATGTTATGGGCAATTTGTCTATAATGAACCAAAACCACAAAACCATGTATCAAATGATGTACAAAGATATCTCAGTAACAAAACTTTATAAAAAAAATTATAACATCTAACCAACATATCAGTCCAAAAATGTTATAATTGTGTGTGTGTCAGGCTTTACTGTGTAAATATTTTCCAGTATGCAATACTTGATTTGCTGATAATTGTAAGTTCACTCAGGACAATCATGCAATTCAAATCAATTATATATTTGAATCAACTGATGGTCCTAATAGAAACAATAGTGTGTTTCTAAAAATACATTTGTCTCAAGAGTTGTATTTGTTTGATCACAGGAGCAGAGGGAAAGGCTGGGATGGCAGCCATCGCTGATCCGTCTCAAAGCACCGACCTGGACAAGTTTGTGAAGGACATGGAGAAGGCTCTTCCTCCGTACGCCAGACCGGTTTTCCTCCGCTTCCTTCCAGAGGTCAACAAGACAGGTATGGCAACAAGACTGAAATTAAACAGAATGCATGGAGTATCCTTTAGGTTTAAATATTAGTCATACTGTGTATTTATATATATACATGTATATATGTATACACACACGTGTATATATACGTGTGTATATATATACGTATATATGTGTGTATATATGTGTATATATGTATATGTATATAAGACTGAAATTAAACAGAATGCATGGAGTATCCTTTAGGTTTAAATATGAGTCATAGTGTGTGTGTGTATATATATATATATATATATACATATATGTATATATATATATATATATATACACATATATATATATATATATATATACATATATGTATATATATATATATATATATATACACATATATATATATATATATATATACACATATATATATATATATATATATACACATATATATATATATATATATATACATATATGTATATATATATATATATATATATACATATATGTATATATATATATATACGTGTGTATATATATACGTATATATGTGTGTATATATGTGTATATATGTATATGTATATAAGACTGAAATTAAACAGAATGCATGGAGTATCCTTTAGGTTTAAATATTAGTCATACTGTGTATTTATATATATACATGTATATATGTATACACACACGTGTATATATATATACATATATACACGTGTATATATGTGTATATATGTATATATGTATATACACGTGTATATATGTATATATATATACACACACACACGTGTATATATATACACATATAAATACCCGTGTATATATGTATGTATTTATATACGTATATATAAATATATAAACGTGTATATATATATATATACACATATAAATACCCGTGTATATATGTATATATGTATATACATATATACACATATATATACACACATATATATATATATACGTATATATGTGTGTATATATATACGTGTATATATACACGGGTATATATACACGTATATATATACACACGTGTGTGTATATATATATACATATACACGTGTATATATGTGTATATATGTATATATGTACAATGGACAAAAGCTTGAATTATAACAGTCCTCCAGTCACTAGGTGGCAGCAACTCATACAGTGGTTTGTACAGATAATATCATATCATAATACCATTATCAGGTTCTCGATAGTATTTCAATTCGTGGGGGTGTGGGTTGGGGGCGGAATGTAAAAATGTCTCTCCACAAGGGGGGGGCATGACAGAACATAATTGAGAAGCACTGCTCTAATCACTCATGTCACCGTTTCATCCTTTTCTTGTTTGTTTGTTTCTTTAGGAACATTCAAGTTTCAGAAGACCGAGTTGCGCAGGGAAGGCTTCAACCCCAGCACAGTGTCTGACAGACTATATTTCTTGGATTCCAGCAGAGGCCGCTTTGTGCGGCTGGACGAGGAGACTCACCGCTCTGTGTTGTCAGGGAAATATAAGTTGTGATGAGCAACTGGCCGACGACTGCATTTACAGGTAACACATACATGCAGGTAGAAAGATCTCCTGTCAGCAGAACAGCCGAGTGAAAATCCTGGTCTGCAAATTTACACAAGAACACACACAAGCAATAGCCATATAAGTCAACAGATTTACACATTTACACACACGTACACATTCTCTTTCCAAACCGAGACTCCTGGAAACGCAGTAAAAACCCAGCATGCATGTACACAAAAGAAGAAAAACTGTTTCACCAATCCCACCTGAAACTCGTCCTGCTACCACAGCAAACACAGAGGAACCCCCCCAACAACCAGGTCGACGTTGAGGATTTAAGACCACAAACAGCACCTCTGCTGGTCTATCATGGTCTGACAAAGACTGAAGTTCCGCTGAAGAAGACTCTGCAGGAACAAAGAGCAGGAAGCAGTGCTTTCTGATGATTGGCTGGCATTACCATATGCCCAAAAACTTGAATCTATAAATACTCACAGACTTCACGGAGAATTTGGCAGGACCATAGATTGAGCACACACTCTATGTGACATGGTGGATGGACTGTTGAGACCTTGAACCCATTCTTTCACTGAAAGGAAAAAAACAGAAATTTGAAGAGTAGGCAGCCTGTTATCTTCATCTGCACCTTCAGCCAGCAGTGACGACCCCTCTGACAACTCCAACTTTCCAGATCACCGTTGTGTTTATTCCTGATGTTCATTTAAATTATGTGTTGTGTGTCAGAGAGCCTATGATTTAGACCAGTGCTTGAAACAAAACAGTTTAATTTAAGTGCAATACTGCAGTGTAAATGGCTGCCGCACATCACATTTGAAAAAAATACTTTTGAATGCAGTTAAACGTTTGTGTCATACCAAAAATATTTATGTTGTAGTGTTGCTTGTTTACATATTTATGAACCTATAATGAAAGTTGAATTAATTTATTTTGTAAAGCTTTCTTTTTTGTAGGCCAAATATTGTAACACACAAGAGGATAAGAGCTGCACAGATTTTTTTCCCAATCAGAGCTTAGAAAAAAAGGTTAGCAAACAAATGTTTCTTTACTCAGAATTCAGTTAATGTGTGATGAGTCATGGATTGAAAAAAAAAGATTTGACTTCAGTGTCAGATTTGTAGGTAGAACATGTGGGAAATAATTTACTTAAGGTTCTTGGGGGAAAATATTTAAACATGTAAATAAGATCAAGGGTCAAGGTCAAAATTCAGACTTAAGATTTATCTAGTTTCTAGGTTCAAGGTTCTAAGAATTCTAAGAAATGTTTCAGTGATCTCAAAATGAGATGTGACTATTGAAATCCAGTTTAACTTAAAATCATTGAAGTAAAATCTCTTAGGAATTATTTAAAAAAGATCATTGCCGCTCTTTTTCTCTTGGGTGTTTTTTTTTGTCTTTTTTTTTGTTTATTCAGCTGTTCAAAGATGAACTAATACAATCTACTGTAGCTGATTCAACCCTGGGCTAAACATATGGCTCTGTTTGGACACAGAGGTCTGCTCACCTGCTGGGCTGTCAGGCTGCGTCGCTGTGTGTTGTTTCCAAGTGAACTGTTAACCTGTTAATGGCTCTTCTGTACATCGTGTCCACCTGACTGAACAGAGAGAGAGAGAGGCACTAAACTTTTCTACTTTAACAGTATTTTCTTGCTACACAAGGATGTTTGAGCCCAACGATCCAAAGATTCCCAAACACGGAGCGGGGACTTTGTCATGAGGAACATTCAGCAAGAAAAAAAAAAGGCTGGGAAATGGAAGATAAAGACCCTGGACAGAGAACATGTTTTCTCTTTGTTTGTCTCTTGTGTATAGTCACTGTTGTGAGGGTGTTAGCAGCAGGAAGGGTGGTGTAGGTGACCTGAGGAGCGCGGTGCCTTACCGTGACGTCACATCCCAAATTTACAGGTGATGCACAGCGTCGCCATTGGTTTCCTGTCCACCTTCCATCTTCCCACCGAGCTTCTCTCTGTCATGTTTTTGCTTCAACGGGTTCCACGCGTTCTGTCAAAGTCAAAAAACGTACAAAACTGTAAGACATAGACCTTTTTTCAATGTTGTTAAAAATCAGTATCAGCACTTGGTGGTCTCCTTATTGTTCTTGTTTAAAGATTACATCTATTACTTTTTTCAAATCCATAGTAACGGCTACATTTTTGAATCCTGAAATCTTTTTCCTAAAAAGACAAGAAACTCATCTGTCCTGTTGTATGACACGTCAAATGCTATTTTGGACCAAATAAAAATGTAAAAAGTTTTCACAGACACAGGTAAATTTAAAACAACACTGAGAAAGGTTGAAAATCCTCATAGACACATTTTTACTTGTCCAACAAAAATTAATTTGGCCACGAGCTTGTTTTGATTTTATTTTTTTTTACGCTACATTTTAGTCTTTAAACATAGTTATAGTCGTTATCTTCATTGCAATTTTCCTCCTCGCCTCAAGCAGTGGTTCCTAAATGTTTTACAGTGTACAACCTAGGAAACAATTACCACCAGTTGTTGATGGTGAGTGTGGCTAACATTAAAATACAAATGAGAACGGCACTAAGAAAATAAATCTCTAATAGAATTATTATACTATTTCATTATTAAGGGAGCTTATAAACTTATGTGACTAAACTAATCTTAATGGGACTCTAAGCTCAGCCGTTTCACCGCTGGAGGTCGCCCAAGTACCACTGGTGATACACATGTCGTTTGAGAACCACTGCCTTAAACTAACTTTTCCATCCTCTATGTTCGCTACCTGATTGTTGGTCCTACCCTGGTCTAACTGGAACTAGGTGCAGTCCTAGTAAAGTGCTGAGCAGAGCAAATGATACAAACAGCTGTGGGATAGAGTAGTGGGGGGTGAGGAGGGTCTTCTACTTACAATGTCCTGCACACAAATACACTTAAGAGATTGTTTGTAAAAAAAACAAAACATTTTTGTTTTAATAACTCCCCACTCTCTGCATCACTAACAGTACAGCCGAGTCATTATTAGTATAGTTGTTATAAATGTCGGTGCGCTGTTAAAATGTTCTTCGACTGAGAAACAAATAGTTTGTAATTCTTTCCTCAGTTTGCACTGACCTACTCAGTTGACCTTGATGGCTGCTGTCACACTTCCGCCACTGTTCCCTTACGTTGGGACGCAGACCAACGACAGCCATTTGACGGGATACTGAGAAGCTCGTCGCCGCTTCCACTGTAGTCGTAGTGTGTCGTGAGCGCCCGTTCGTTCTTTAATGATGAGTGTGGACTGTTCTCGCGGGTGTCTGAAAAGGAAATGAGTGACCAAATTAGAATGTTGTGGAGAAATGCGTACAAATGTATTTTCTATGTATGGAAGGGAACACGATTCATTTGGCTGTTATGATGCTTCTGACTATAGGTTGCACTATTCGACCTTGACCACCAGGGGGCGCATGACTAAACAGCCCCCCTAAACAAGCACTCTGAATAAGATGTTTTCATTTTTGTTTTTATTCTTAATGACTTTAATTTATTATTATTATTTGTGGAACTGTTAATTATATTTCTGATTGTTTCACTGTATGAAGGTGTTTTATTTTGTTATTTTTGTTTGAAATCCAAAGTTGTGATTTTTTTTTTGTTTGTTTTTGTTTATTGGTTTGTTTAAAGATGCGGTGATTTGTGCATGAGTGGGAGACAATCACATTTAATCCCAAAGACGGGGTTAATTAAAATGCAATTGTTGTGTTTGGAATTAAATTGGTTGTGTATGTTCACCCAATTCCCCAACATCCTGTAAGCTAAGAGGTAGCTAAGAGTCTGTGGGGCAGTTCACCAGTTTGACCAGAGAGGGGCGCTTTACCTTCATTATACTGCTTCCGGCTACAGGAGCTCTCTCTGCACACCTCTCCGCATTTCCCAAATCGGTAGACAGGCATTTTACCTACAACATATAGAAATATACAGGTTTTGAGCACGTTAAGAACCAAAATAACATAAAATTAATTTTATGTTTGCATTTTACTTTTTAAAGTAATAGAAGTTTAAATCACAAACGGTTAAATTCTTCAACACATTTTTTACTCTTTGTTACTACTGATGGGAGGCAGTAAACTGTGACCAAGATGTGGGAATGAATTCAGTAAAAGAAATGTCTGTTGTTCAAGATGATATGATACTGTCAGGATATTGTGGATGTTTGTTTTGGGTCTCTCATGTTTGTCACTCATGGGCAACTTCTTTCACTCCTGTTTGTTTTGTTTCACGTTTGCTATGTGATTGGAAATGTTTTAAAAAAAGTTCTAGAGAGAGAGAAACAAGTGTAGGTGTGTGTGTGTGTGTCTGTGTGTGACTGTGGGTGTGTGTGCCAGGGAGGTGTGTGAGGTGTGCTGTGTGTGCAAAGACACACACACTGATGTCCTCTTGTCCACAGATTGTCACAGAAGGCTAGCAGTTTAACGTCATTTTCAAGGAAAGACAGGAAATCAGTGCGACAGGTAAACAATGGTTCCTGATAATAAAACCTATTTAAATTGTTCAATGTTTTCTGATGTGTGTTTTTTGTGTGGTATTTTTTTCTGGTTGCTCATTTTACTCATACGTATATCATTTGTTTTGCCAGCAGGAGCAGAACGACACAACCACCTACCCCAAAATTAACTAAAGTGATACATTCCAGGGGATCTAACATGTTTTCAACACATTTTTTTTATTTTTACATGTCTTGGGCACTAAAGAATTTAATTGATTTTTTAAAATCCTTTTAAATTCTATAATATTTTTTAACAAATTAAAAAAATCTTAAAATATTAAGTTTTTGATGCATTCACATCATCTGTTAATGCTACAGTACTGATCTGTGCCTTTTGAAACTGTTTGTACACCCCTGCCCTAAAAAGATTGTTTTTCGTCATTGCATCAAACCCTTGTTTAAACAGTTCACTGTAGGTTATAGTGGACTTTCCAGGCCCTTCTAGGTAAATGTATCAATATCACAATTAAGGGAAATGTTAACCCCCCCGTAAGTATAGGATCTCAATAGCCACTTAACTGTTTCCAAGTCAAACAATTTTTTATTTTAATTTAGATTTTGACAAGAGTCAGTACTGATTGCTTGTATGTTCTGGATATTTATTTACACTCCTCAATGTCGGCCTATTTTTATTATTTACACAGTCCACACCCCTCAAAAAAAACACTTTTTTACTGCCTTAATGGTTAGCACGGCTCAGAAAGTTGTATTATATTATTGATTCTATGAAAAAAGATGTCAAAAATCACATTGAAACAAAATGAGTTTTAAACCAAGTTAGACTTAAAAAAAGGTTAGTAAAACCCAAAAAGAAGTAATAAGGATAAGGATACTCCATTGATTATACTCATTTTACAACACTAAAGACACAATAACACGTCTCAACAGAAGATAATGTACTAATATTTAACCACCAACATAATGACAAACTGACATAAAAATAATTTCTTGATTTTACAGGATGATAGGGCAAAGACAATTAATAAAAAGTTCTTTCTTACAGCCCCAGCCTTCAGTGGATGCTACTGGTGTACTCCACTTAAGCATAAGGGAAGTATAGTAAGAGTTTAGGGAGTGTATTTAAATGATCTAAATAATTTTCTCATCACTATTTTTTTTAAAGAGAATACATTAGTAACCAAAGTACAAATCTCTCCTAGGTCTGTTTGGGGGTAGGTCTCCATATGTTGTGAAACGTTTCAGTAGTGCCTGACTGAGCCTCAGATGATGCCTTCTAACCACAGCTCACATGTGTTTCTGCACTTGTGGGCAAGTATAAACCTACTCAGAGTTATTTTAGAAGCTCACTACTCCCAACACTCAGCCACTGTTAACTGATGGTCCTGATTGGCTGAGCAGCAGGTGGGTGGATCAGGACAGGAAACAAACATTGCCTCAGGCTTTGCCACTCTGCACCCGTCTGTTGATCAGCTGCTCTTCACTTTAGGCTCAGGTCACTTATCCTTTCTCACCCTTTCAACCTTTATCTGTCCCGGCAGCCATGAGGACCACCGTGGTCGCTGTTGTCATGGTGATGGTGGTGATGGTGCAGGCCATCAAGCCTCTCAGGGATTTCGACCCACAGAGGGTAAGACGGATGCACAATGTCACACTTGAAACTTTGTCTGTGATTAATTTAATGTTATTCAAATCTAATTAAAAATAGCTGCGGGTCAAATTTTAAAATATAACAACTTAGCTTTGTTTGTGGGGTGGTTAGATGAGCTGCTAATTCTTAATTAGATACCTAGCAAAAAAAGCCTCCAGAATAACTAGGAGTGAATCCAGTAATAGAGAGAAGTTAGCCAAGCTAAGTAGTAAAAGCTAACAAAAATCCAGGATAGCAACATAAGCCTAACACAAATAAAGTTAGCCCAATAGGTACCATTTTAAATGAAATCAGCTAAACAAAAACCATAAAGGAGATAAAAGGTATGTGAAAGACTGAACAAAAAATTGAAAATCTGACATAATATTTGAAAAGTCTTTAGCTTTAGGCTAAAAATTGACAAAACAAATGGCCCCAAAAAATTTAAATTTAGCAATCCCCTTCATCGCTCTTGTTTATGTGTTCCTGGAACCATTTTGTTTGTTTTGTTTTTTTTAGTTGAGCCAAAGTTTAACAGCAGTCCACCTTAAATATACTGAAAATGTTTGTCCTGTGGGGACTGTTTGCAGGCACCCACGGTTTATTAGGTTTAGAGCTAGGATTAGAATTAGCGTCTCATTTGTGGAAAGTAGAATGTTAAATTAGCCATATATTTGTTACAGTTAAGATTAAAGGGCTGGAGAATTGTTTAATGAAATACGTGTGTGTGTGTGTGTCTAGTTTGCAGGTAAATGGTACCGTGTGGGTCTTGCCTATGATTCTCCCAGTTTTGCCCCATACAGAGACAAACTAAAGGTCTCCATGGGCACTATCACACTGACATCTAGTGGCAACTTTAACCTGACAATGTGGGACGCAACGTGAGTCTGTGAAAATGTACAGTCATTGTGATACTTAATGAAAGTAAGAAAATGTGATGACAATAAGAAATGTTTTTCTATTCCTCGTTGCCCTTGTGTTTGGTCTAGACCTTTGGGCTGCCAGGTGAAGTCCTACCTGTATGAGAAGACCAGCACACCAGGACTCTTCACGTACTTCAGCACACGTAAGCCACAGCACACTAAAGAGATATAAAGAGACAACAGAACATCATCAGCATATGGTTACAACATGACTTTGTTTCCTCTGTGATGATTTGACTCCCTAAATCAGCAGATGTCTGCAACTCAAGTTAAAAGTTTTGGTCAACAATAATATGATCAAGTGACCACATGACTGAAAGCCACCATGGTCAAGATCATGACATTTCAAATCACGTGTTGTCACAATTTGTTTATGCTTGATACTATTTCTCTGCTTATGAGTGGAAGAGGAAGTATTTGTTATTTTTAAGAGGTCAAACATAAGGCGATCAATTATACATTTTAGCTTTAATCTTAATTTTCAAATTTAGACTTATTCACCATCACAACTTCATTTGACACATTTTATGATTTACTTTGGAAGCCATCAAGAAATATGGGGGGAAAAGGGAGAAGAATGTGAATATAAAAGTAGGTTTGACAAAATATTCATATGTTAAAAAAAAAAGTTTACAAAGAAAAATGGCAAGGGAGGGGGGCTATGTCATATAGGAAATTAAAGTTTTCAACTTCAAGTTTGCTTATAAAATGATGTAACATGCACATAACGTGCACAGATAATTCAGTACAAGTTTAGTATGAATGTCTTAATTTTCATTTCTAATTTATTTTGTTAATTTATTGTAACATTTAACATCTTTTAAATTTTTAAGCTTTTTAAAAGCGGAAAAGAAATTGGCCAAAAAAAACCAAACTCTTCTTCATCTATTTGTCTGTACTCTACAGTATAGTGAAGAACACTTCACACTGTACAATAAAAAAAAGCCTTTATAGTGTTAGGGTTGACAAATACCATTTTTTTTTTATGAAAGATATCAATCATAACTTTGTATTTGTGTTCAGCACCATGTCTACAAAAAGTTCAGTTTTTTCATCATTTTTCATTTTGGTTCAGGCCATAACATGGTGAAGGACATCACAGTGGTGGACACAAACTACACCGACTACGCTCTGGTCCTCAAACACAAAGTGTTTAACAGAGAGTACACGCAGGTGGCGCTTTACGGTAAAAGATAAAGACACGCACACACACAAATGTTTTTCCTGCTTGTCATCACCGCCCTGATGTGTCTGAATTTAACACCCAACTCCTCACAGGCCGCTCTCCCAGAGTTAAACATGAGGTTTTCAACAAGTTTAGAGCCTTTGCCTTTTCTCGAAGTTTTCCTAGAGATTCTATTCTGACTCCACCACCTGCAGGTGAAGTGAAGAATTACATACACCATATTCTGTACAATAAGAAACAAACCCTTCAATACTCCAATGTTCACCTAAGGCTTTTTCCTGTCCATAGAGAACTGCCCGGCTTCTGGATCTGGGCGCTAGCTGTTTGCTACAGCGACACACGGAGACACAACAGCGCCATAAATCAATGATTAAACTGTGTTTCTGTAGAACTTCAGATTGATGTCCCGAATGAAGACGAGGCCCTGTCTAGACTATATTTAACCATAACAGGTCCTAAGAAATACATACCAAATATATAAAATATATACAAAATATAGGGAATAAACTTAGCAACGTTTAATAATTATTTTACTGTTTTGTTTTCTCTCAGCATTGTTGTTGTAACGTATGAGCATAAAATTATTTTTTAAAATGGTAATAAACCTTTGTGTGTGATTAAACTTTTTGAATCACATTTTACTTTTTATTAAGAATTATTTTGACTAACTTTGACTTTGACTAACATATTTATATTGGTCATGCATGTACAGTATTTAAATATATATTTAAATATAATTTTGGGCTAACCTAAGCATCATATTTATTAATGGATAAAATTACATGTATTATTTAATTTCTCCTTCCGATTGATTTTTTGACAAACTTGTGACCTCTTAGCTGCAATTTTCATTAATATATAATACAATAATAATAGCTATTATTATTATTATCATTATTATTGTAACTATTTACTGTGTGTAAATAACATTGGTTGACATATACTTAGTTTAGCTAACTTCTAGCAACATTAGGTTTTATTTATATTTTCTGGTAATCAATGCTGAAATATCTTTACCAAAAGCATGTACGAGCATGTATTTTACGTCTGCATGGGCATAATATTTCCAGCAGGAAATACACGACAGTACACAGAGTTTCTGCTGTGAAACAAACTAAGGCACCTCACAGCGTGGTCCTGGCTGTGGAACACTGACTCCACGCCTGAAAAACATTTAGTCACTCTTCACCACTGGTAACGATAACAGTTAAAACCACTGTCGACTGTGTTTGTTTTAGCTTCATACGCTGAACACTGACTCATGACATGATTTGTTTAGAAAAACACACACACACACACACACACACACACACACTCAAGGTCACAGATAGCAGCAGAACTAAAAGGCATTCTATTTGAGCAGGTGTAGCTGTGGTTCACAGTTTCTTCAGTAGGTTCATGCATGATGCACAGAACTATTGCTCTGGTTCTTCTCCTGGTCCTGGGTTCAGCCCATGACCTGACAGGGACTCTTCCGCCCCCGCAGGAGGCCTTTGACCTGGACTCAGTGAGTGACACCCTCTTCTCTCACTGTTTTATTTATCTATTAGGAAACAGCTGTGTTCTGTGTCTAGTGTTTTTGACTATACTATACAAGTCTATGTTTACTGTTTAAATATCAAATTTTTGCGCCAGTATATCAATAACATACCGCAAAACAAAACATGTGATTTTGGCACATCTCTACTATCTTTTGGCTCTTGGACCAGTTTCTAGACTAATAATTTAGGCTATTTAGGCTGTTTAGGCTATTTTACATTAGCTTAGCTAGCATCTTTTTTCTTTTTCTTTTTGGTAATTTCCCTAAATTCCAAAGGGAAAGATTTATCTATATGTAAAACGTGAACAGGCACGATATTCATTCTGTACTTTATGACACGTCTTCGTTTTTCCTCCAGTTCATGGGACAGTGGTATGAAATCGCTGTGGTTTCCACCTGTCCTTACTACATGCAGCGCAAACGTGCAAATCCTGTGATTCTTTCGATGCAGCTGCAACGTTCAGAGACCAACTTCACCATCACGACGGACACCTTCAAGTGAGACCCACGGTCACACACATGTAGATACACCTAAGAAATTGACCAACTGATCATGTGTACCTGCAGGAACGGCACATGTAAGCGATCGTCCACAGATTACATGTTGACTGACACTCCAGGAAGATTCTTCCACCACGTTGCCAGTACGTTTTCACACAGTCCTAACTCATTTACATGTCTACTCTGTTAAGTACATCAAGACAATTATTTATCAAGAATAATTATAATTCCGTTTTGACTCTTTATTTCTTGCACTTTCACTATTAAAAAAGAAAAACCAGACTGCCATGTACCACTACAGGGAGCCAAAGTGGCACCAGTCAAGTAATTTATCAGGATCATTTAGTCACATAAACTTCAGCTGAGTATACAGATGTACTTTTTACATTCATTTACTCAACACACATTGTTCTTACTGCAGAGTTTGGAGCTGATGTTGACACGACTGTGGTGGAATCCAACTATGAGGAGTACGCGCTGCTGTTTCAACTGAGCGTAGAGAAGCCATCATTAATTACCACCATCATAGACAAGCTCTACAGTGGGTGACCTTCCAACACTGACATTTTCACATATGCACATTTGTGTACAGAAACACAATCAGCAACTATGCAATGCTGGACTAGTTTTAACTCTGAATTTTGATAACTATTTACCTTAACCTATTTTAGACTGTCTTGGTTATTTTTGATTAACTGGAGGTTTATTATTCACCACTCTTCACTATTTCTGCTTTGTTTCAGCTGTGTATGTAGCTTCCATAACAGATTTATTTTCTCTTCTGCAGGTAGGACTGTGAGCGTAAGGCCTGAGGTCATCGACAAATTTAAAACACTCGTGAAACAACATGAAATGAATGCAAGTGACATCATCATGAATCAGTGGAAAGGTTAGTAAAGTGTTCATAAATGTCTTTACAAATTTACCATTGTCTAGCCATTTCCACCATTTCCATCTTACTGTCTTGCAGGTGATTGTTTCCCCCTCAACTAAACCAAATCCAGAGGCTAACAGTTAGCTTCAAGTGGCTGAATCCAAAATAAAATCCTACAAAAACCATGCAGCATGTGTTCATGTAACAGAAACAAACATTAACAAATCATTTACCCAGCCATCTGCTATGATTCTTGACACATTACACTATTTGTTACTAACTTTGAGCTGCTTCTTTTGACTTACTTTTGGATATGTCCATAATTCTTATCTTCCTGGCTTACTTTGTGTTGACTTTTCTGTCAGCTAGCTCTACCTATTTAGTAATCATCACTTTAACCTGCATGTTGACAACCGTTTGGGCACCAGTAATGCCAGATGACCTGAATTTGGTCATCTATGTAACACACTGACTGACACGTGGAGCAAAGGACCAGTTGGCTGGACTAGAGCTCAGGGAGTTGTGAGGGGTTCTGGTGCTTGCTTGACACACCACAGTCGTGCCAGTACTACGATTAAAAAAGGGAACCACCTGATCCCAAGGCAGATCACCTGTTCATCACTACAGGGCTCCAGAGAAATGTGATTATGAAAGTGTTTAACTGAGCAGAAATCGAACATTTTTCTTCTTAATTTTTTATTTTATTTTAATTTGGTAAGTGGGAACTCCTCTTTGGCAATGATGTATGCAACAATAAATTTCGTTAGCATTCCCGGAGCGGCGCCACTTTCCAGAGGTGTCCTAAAATAAAATAGTCTTGCATTTTAAGGCATTT